TGTGTATATATATATATATATATATATATATGTGTATATATATATATGTGTATATATGTATGTATGTATGTATGTATATGTAAGACTGAGGGGCATACTTTATTTACTTTATCTCTGGCTAATATTTGTGCCTGAATTATTAAATGTGGGAGTGCATGTCCTACAACCATTGACGGGTTTTTAATCTCTCGTTGAGTTTTCAAACTCGGGTCCTTCAGTCTAGAGTCTAGACAAACATTAACAAAATTGAACCTGACATTTTTATGTATCTTGTCTCTTTTATATCCTCTGAGATGCCGTTTCTCTCCCCAAGATGATTTCCCCTACAAAGGAACAGTCGAGTCTAAAAACAAACAAACACAGTGTCTCTGAAGGCGTCTTCAAGACTGACCTGAATCCGCATTGTGACCAGTTGCGTAAGCAGAATCAGTATTTCTCTAACGGCTGAAGAGGGCACCATTGTAGAGCCGGTGAGGAGGCTTGATGTCGACTGTGATCGGTTGGATCAGCAGCGGCAGTAATCATAGGTGTAGCAGTTGTACTATTTCTACAACGTATGATAGTATTTGTGTTGCAATTATTTAAACTACATACATTCCATTCTATTAGATTATACGTGTGAAAGACCCAAAATATGTTGAGTTCATTTTAGTTTAAAATAAATCAGTGCAAAGAGACGTTAAAGTAAAGATAAAGTTAAAACACTGTGACTTACATGCCGTCAATACGTCTCATTAAAAGAGTCTTCATGTATTTATCTGTGCTGGTGTTGACTCAACATGTGTAATAAAATCATGTTTACTCAGAATAAATCTCAGGCTGCAGCTGTCAGTAGAACAATAACGTTGAACTGAAGTGCACTTGTTTGTGCGCTCAGTTCTCCTGTTAGACCGGGTTGGCTGAGCGTCCGGGACGATCTGGGCAACTGCTAACATGTTTGAGTGACGGGAGAAATGAAAGGTTTCCCATTGTAGCACAGGTCTCGGAGGGAGCAATTTAAATGATAAGTGGAGGGATGATAATCAGAGAAGAGGTGGCTCACGGGGTGAGGTTACTTCCGAGTGACAAAATAACAAGACACAGCCAAACAAAGGTGTGTGGTGTCTGCTAATAGCATCTTGGACAGAGTATAACAATAACAAGTAAATCAATGGTACATTCCTTGTAGCCTCCTTTTGACTTCAACCATTTCTGCGGGGGAGAGGTTGTAGTTTTATATTTCTGTCTGGTTGGCACCACTAAGTCTTCGTCAACCTTTTCCGAGTTCCGGCTCCAAAGACAAAAAGCAAGAAACCATCAAAAGTGATCAAAGAGTGACTGAAGTGACGGGAGGAAAAGTTGGGGTTTAGACAAAGAAAGACGTGCATGACTGAATGGGGCGCTGAGGCAGCAGAGAAGTCATAGTTATTAACATACTGTTGCTGTTTATCCAGATTTTCAGCCCGTGGTTTGTGTGTGTGTGTGTGTGTGTGTTTGGGTGTTCTCCCAGTCACCCAAAAGCATGTCTGCATAGCTGGTAGAAGGCGATGCTTGGCTCATAATTCAAGTTCGTGCTGATTTATGTGCAACATCTGCTTACTAACCCCTCATTAAAGGAGGTTATGATAATCAAAAGGGAATAACTGTGATTATGAGTGACGTATGTGGCGTGAAAATGAACCCTCGGGATTTATTTTTGGGTATGTGAATAAAAAAATGTATTTATCTTCGATGATTTATTAGACTTGATGATATATATTTGAATCTTGTCATTGATGCACCTCGTGCGTCTCAGATCACTCACGCACCCACATAGAAACAATCAAGAGACTAAAGCACAAGAGTGCGAAGGGAAGACTAGACGGGGTTATCCTTGATGAGTATAAACACAACCGACTAATCAGGTCAAGCAAACAACAGGAGTCCATTATCATCCGTACACCAGAGTGCAACGGGCACCTGTCAAGATACCTCAAATGTAACGTTTCCCATCAGCATATTGTAGTTTATCATATTCAGTAGTAGAAAAAGAGTAATTAAAATGTACTGTTTGCATATTTTGTTGTTGTCACCGTCTCGTGTCATCACCTCCCCAGCGCTCTACTGTTTGTTTGCCAACACATTCCTGAAGACGATTGGGTAACCTGTGTCTTATCTTTCATTGGTTGGTCGGAGTTGTCAGTTAATGAAAGGAAGAAAAACCAAAAAGCAATCTCCTGTTTGTGTCTGCATGTGTGTAAGAGTGAGTGTGTGTGTGTGTGTCTTAATGCTCCCCATGGGGATGGCACGCCTCTCTAACTGACTTTGGCACCGTGCCTCCCTCAGCTTGTTTGCCACCTTTAACTATTTCCGTGCCAGATGGTTGCTGTAGAAAAAAATGTAAACATCTCACTTAAAAGGGTATCTTTTTATGAAGAAGTGAAATGATCTGCCATCAATATGAAGTTTTTTCATGTGCATCCAGGAACTTCTCGAGTGAAGGTGATTTTTCTTTTACGCCAGATAAAAAAGTGAAAATAAAAACATTTACTCTCTTGTATTAAGTAAAGAGTAAGATCTTAAGACTGATGTATTAAGACTGTTGTGCTGACATATCCTTCTGGCTGTCATGTCATGTTGTTCATTATGTTTACTCATAAGAGGACGTTGAAAGATTTGTTGTTTTTGAAATCTACACACATGAGCTCTCGGGCGAGGCTCTAATGGAGCTGATGTCATGACAATCGTGGCGTAAACAGCAGAAAGTCACCTCGGGGTGAGCGTCTCCTGAGAGATACTCACTAGCCTGTCGACAGAGAAAGAGAGCGTGACATACAGGAGTGTGACGGACAACTGTGAGAGTAGATTCACCTTTGATGGATTTATAATCTACTCTGTGTTAACTGGCCTCTCTTTACTCTTTGGAGAGAACTTTATGTCGGAGACTTTTGTAAAATCTCTGTTTTTGTTGTACATTGGCAGCATTACAGGACCACATGTAATTAGGGCCAGACCAAAACAGTCACTGTACTTCCTGTAAGATGTTTTTTGTAGATAAGCACTGTCTGTGTGGATTCTTCCTGTTTGTGTTTGGCTTTGCCCCCCCCATCCCCGTCTGTAAAGGGGAGTGTCCGCCCTCGGTAATCCTACACCATTAACTCATTGAGCTGACTGTAACTGGCTAAACAGCCTCGACCAGTGAGTGCAGAGACTCACACCCACAGGCCATGTGTTTGGCTGTTTGAATCGAGCACACGCAGCATGCCATTCTATACTTCTTTACTGAGAGAGAGAATCAGGTGTGTGTGTGAGCGAGAAACAAGTCATTTCCTCATTGTCAAAGGAGGGAGGTGGTTGGAAAAAAAAAAAAACCCAGAGACAGAAAAAAAGTAGAAAAAAGATGGTGAGAGAGAGGGGATAAGAGAACCACCCAAACTTCCCAAACCACCCAATCAAGGTGCGCTGCTGGAATTGGATCCCTCCCTTCTTCATCACCTGAGAGCGGAGACTCACAGCTGAGCCTCAGAGACTCGGTGAGAGAGACACAGAAACAAAGACCGGGTTAAGAGCAAAAAGAGCGCGTACGGTGATGACAGCTGAACTTTCACGGAATATAAAATTGCCTCTCGAACAAAAAGAAAGATGCAGAGGTGTTTTTTCTTTTATCTTGAGCAAGAGGGAGAAACTCTGGATGGGAGAACCTGAACTCTCAGGAGAGCTGTGCATCTGAAAACAACAAAGCAACGAGCTCACTGGCTCTGGATTGAATGAAAGTCGTCCTACAGACAAGAAATCCTCGCGCGAGAAGAAATTGGATACCAAAAAGGAGATGAAGAAAACGAAAACAGGGATTTTTTTTTAGGACTGCCTGAACAGTCTGTTTAAATCTTTTTTTTTGTTGCTTTTCTGGAACAAGGCAACCCATGTTCCTTTGTGTTGCTTCCTGCTGAGTCTCCTGTAGAAGCATCATGGTGTTGGTTCCTCACGAGCTCTGAGGTGGGCCACGTTTTTTCACAAAAGACAACCAGGAGGAGGAGGAGCACCTGCGGTTTGGTGGAGACTATGTCTCTAGAAGATGTAGGAAGCACTGCGAGTCTCGGGGCCCAAAGCAGCGCCTCAGACCGCTGCAATGGCCACTCTCTGAGCCACGGTCAGGACCAGGATCTGGACCACCAGAGCCAAGGCCAGGATGGGATAGTTATGGAGCGCATCGCCTCCCTGTCGTTGGACATGTTTGAAGCCAGTGACTTCACCGGGAGGTTTAGCAAGATCCAGTTCAGAAAGAGGACCACGATCTTCCAAGGTAGGTGGAGACAAGCTTGCGATCATTTGTTTTGGGGTTTTTTTCAGAGTGAATGGGAATGACCTGAGGGTTTTTTTTCTCATGCTGGAAAGAAGTGGAAAGGCTGGTTGAACATCCAGCTGAAATACTGGTCAACCCCCCCCCCCCCCCCCAACTGGAATGTGGGCTGGGTTTGTATCCAGCCTGGGATTTGTAAACGTCTCAGATCTCTGACTACCTGTTCAGCCCTTCTGTCCCTCCAAGGCTCCTCTACTCTGTGAAGTGAGGACTTGACTTGACAAGTGTCTTTGTTGTGGTTTCTGTAGACCCTGTGAAAAGTGATACCTTCTCTGTTTTGAGAAAAAACGCACAAAATGACTCCACTAATCCTTATTATATAGAGTGTGGGGGGAAGACACGCCGATGTGCTTCTGGCCTCACATCAAAGCACTAGTATTTTGTTTTTCCCAACCCACTCACTCTCTCTCATGTTACCTTCTGGAAGCTTCATGTCCAACCACCATGTGGGAGAATGCCAAAACCTTAAGTAGTCTAGTAGTTTCTGTCTATTCCTGGAAAGGGAAATCATAAGGAGGCCACACACACTCTCAGTACTTTTGTTTCATATTTTAACTTAGATGATGCCATTGTCTAAAGTATACTAAAGGTACAGTATCAACAGAATAATCTTTTATTCTTAGGTCACCAACATTACAATCGAATGAAGAGTAAGGAAAGACTTAAGAGTTCAGAAGTGTCTTTAGAACAAACTAAAGGAGAGATAAGAAAGGAGCTCATTTTGTATCTGACAACATATATTTTGTGGGATTTGGTGTTGGTGTGCAGTGAAAGGTGAGGTCTGGAGTCAGGTGGTTCCTGTGAAAGAAAATACCACCTGCACAAACAATAAATGAGCACTGTGAGTGCTGTGATAATGTGCATATTAATAATGTGTGAGGCTTTGATGTTGGGGAGACTGTTATGCCTGGCATGAAAACTGCTGACGCACACACACACACACACACATTCTTCACTAAAGGTATCTATTTGATCAGCGCAGCTGTGTCAAGGAGACACCACTGTGTGAACTGTGACCCTCAAACAGTCCCTCTGTGGTTGTGTGGCTATTTGTGTGTGTGTGTGCGTGTGTGTGTGTGTGTGTGTGTGTGTGTGTGAGAGTACTCATCTGCTGTGTATGTGATGGACCAGTTAACACCCACATGCACATGTCATAAGAGTTCAGTGTTGTCTTGTTCAACAGACCACACTGCGATGTATGTAGTTGAAACTATTTGGATAATTGATTGATTATTAAAATAATCTTTTAGACGCTTCACATTCCCTAGTTCCAGCATCTACATCTACAGATCCGCTGCTTTGCTCTTTCAGATGGGATTGTAAACGGACTATCTTTTGGGTTTTGGGCTCTGCTTACACCACGGGTGTGTGTCATCATCGCATGTCATTTCGGCTGTCAACGTTAATCCCTTTTGTAAGTTGATGCCAAAATGAAAGTTGGCTGTTGTCGTGTTTGTTTTCTCTCTTCTATCAGTGAGACATCCTCTCTCTAGCTGACCCCGTTGTGTCATTTTCAAGAGTCGCATTCTCCCAGCTCATATCATATCAATAATATAAGTTTATCTAGTTCATAGATTTGAATTAGGGTCTTCAGGATTTGGATAAAGTAGCTCAGTAAAAAATCACGACAAGAAAGAGATCTAATAACAGCAAGTGTATATCCAGAAAGGGCAGATGGGTGTGTGTGTGTGTGTGTGTGTGTGCTTTGGTAAATACATTTTTGGCTATGCAACTGCTTAAAATTCCTTTAAGTTAAGGTTAAATGGAATGCAATGCAATTTCTGTTTTGTGCATTTGTCTGTGTGCATGCATGAATGTGTGTATGTGTCCGTGTGTGTGTGTGTGTGTGTGTGTAAGACTCACATTCCAACAGCTGGCATGCCCAGGCCCCTGCTCAGAATGTGAGGAATCCTAGGACCTCCATAAGGGTGTGTGTGTATTTAAGTCTTTGATTTTGATTTGTAAGCTGAATAAATGTGAGTCACTCTGGCAGATATGTCCCTATTCCCTGTTTAGGTCCTGAGTTTGAATAGATGAGAAGATGAGTTGCACTAACAAACACACTTCTCTGCTCTGTTTCTCTTGACTTTGCTATTTAATCTCGCAAGAAGTGTTGCTCTTACTCTGCCTCGTCGCCACTCCCACAAGAACTACCTGTGTCATCATGTTTAGTTTGCCCATGCATAACAACTAAAACCTCCCTTGGTCCCACAGCTGGCAGACGTGGCTTTTCAACCCGATGAGAAATGTGAGAAACATGGTCAACAAACAGTAATCCTTGACATGTCCGTATACTTTCTCTTGAGCAAGAAGAGATGAGGTTGCGGCGGTTTGAGATAACAAAGGACGGACAGCCTCGGTCAAACAGTATTCAGCAACCATCTTTGAGTTCAGCTGCAAGCAGGCAACTCAAAGACAGGCAACTTTCAGTTGCAGGAGAACATTTTGAAAGTCAGATTTTGGGTTTACGTTTCTGTGATAGTCAACTTGTCTGAATTATCCAAAGTAATCAGGTTAACACAGAGGCAGAGGTTGTTATTTGCTGGTACCGATTGACCCCGGACTGTAATGGAGAAAGCAGAAGTTGCAGACAGGAATAGCCCTGCAGTGCTTCTGCTATATTCCTCCTCCTTTGAGATTTGACTGTAATTGTCTGTTAATGTGAACCAGGCCATCCTGTGCTCACTAGCTCTCCTGCGAGCCACCGCTTTGCATGATACCGTGTCTTATGCACTTTCTGCTCCCCTCCTCACTCTCATTGTCTCCCCCTCCCTCACCCGTCCACATGTCCTGTGGCACTTCCGCGCTTCATCCCGGGAATTACACGATGACCCTAATTATCCACTTGTTCTTCCACTCATAGTCACCCAACCATAGCGTCCTTGCCCGCGATGGCCATCATATACATTTCATGCTTTGGCAGAATTGTGAGGACGGCCAAGTGGATGTGTGACTGTTTAAGGTGAAGGGAGAGAAGTTACTTTCACTCACCTATTGTCTAAATGTGAGGAAACAATGCTTAACCTCTTTAAAATGATTTGTCAAGAATGTAACCACAGCCGTGGAGTGGAAGGTTAATACTGGCTGCAAGCAAAGTGCTGGTAAATGTTGGTGTTGGCCCACATTCTTACTTAAGGAAGTAAGGAACAAATTAAAAGTGCGTGCTGGTGGTAAACCAGTAAAAATGTTAGTTATCAAGCAAGCCCAGGAACACAAATCTCTCAAGCCAAGATAAGAGATATGCTAGTGCAGCAGCAGATGTTTCCTTTCAAACTGATTTCTTAAAGCTAAACTGTATTGGCAAAATCAGCCAGTGTCATGAATCGTTGCACCTGAAGTGAACGCCAAACATTCGTTTAAATGCCAATCAGTGGATTTAGCTGAGCAGCTTGCCAAACATTAACATTGTATAGTAATTACTGCAAATGGCACAAGCAAGTTAATTTACCGCGCAGCACCACCCTACAGTGTGTCATACACCATCATCTACCTCTGTTGATTGTGTAAAGCACATGTACTGGTTAAAGCTATATCTATAAATCTGACTCACCCAAACATCAAATGAAGCTACTTGGTAAAACAGACCCCAGGTGGAAGCTGTTCATTCCCATGGGAGCATGTATGTTACAGTGGTAGTATTTACACACACACTTTGATACTGTCTGTGGTACTGGATGTTTTATATTAGAAGTCCCCTCCACCCCCGTGGAAGTTACCCTTTAAACTACAGAATATCTCATTGTGCACCGTATAGTGAATAAGGAAATCACAGAGAAAAAGATAGATGATGTTTGAATTGTAAAGGTAATTTATTGTGCTTTGCATTATGGGACAAAAGTGTCCACCCCACTCAGGAATCTACTAAAAGTACTACTGTTTGCATGCCGCACGCACTTCATATCAACCCTTGGTCAGAATGTACTGTATGTGCCGTGTGGAGGCAGTGACACCATTATTGTTAATCCTGGCTATTCGCTGGAACTGACTGCCTATCAATGCTTCTCTTGGCTCTCATTGGTTGACAGTAATTGCGAGTCAGAACAGAACAAAAGTGATCAGGAAACATTGGATTTCTGTATATTACTCCATCATCCCCTCCTCCCACTGTCTGGTCTTTGTACCTCACTCCTTCCCACATTCCCCCCTGTGCAGTACCATCTACTGTATGTTATTGCATCCCTCTCTCTCTCTCTCTCTCTCCCTCTCTCTCTCTGTCTTTCCTCTAAGAGGATTGGCTGCTGGCTTCTACCAACATCTGTGTATCACTGTCCTGAGAGAGCAAAACAGAGAGGGGATGGGGAGTGTTAGCCAGCAATATAGCAATACAGAGCGCAGGCGAGGCTGATTGCCGTTTTTTTTCCTTTCTCTTTCACACTCTGTTTCGTGCACACACACACACACACTCAGCAGCAGACAGCCGCAACATCCGCATCGCCGGCTGCCCACCCGCATCCCTCTCTCCCAGTCGTTCTCTCCTCTTTCTCTCACTCGCTCCGTCCGCAACGCCTCATCCTGCCGTCCGGTCCTCCCTCTGCTGTCTGTCACCGTGGCGACACAGCCTCTGCAGCCATGGCGACAAGCCAGCAGGATTCGGGCTTCTTTGACATCAGCATCAAGTCTCTACTCAAGTCCTTAGGAGGGAGTGAGTACAGCTACCGACGTCACATGTTGTCGATGCTGGCGTGCCAAACAAATGCGTGACTAGTAGTCCGTAGCTCCTGCAGCGTACAGACTACGCGTACTTTGTTTTTGTTAATCTGTGTTCGCATGAGACGGAAAAACATGCAGCATGATCCACACTGTCAATATCTGGCGATGTTACATAACGGAATAATGAAAGACAAGGGGGTTGAGCGAGAGAAAACTGCTCCAGGGTTTAGTTGGGAGTAAATCTGGATTATACAGCGTATTATTCCACAAAAAGAAGAAGTCAGTCTCTGACTTTCTTACAATCTTTGTGCACTGAAAGCTAAATACGCAGATCGTGTTGACATGTGCTGTTGACAGTCAGAGAAGTCAAGTCATCTCAATCAGTTCTCCAGTCAGTGTTTACCAAACAGAGAGTAAAGCTACTGTATGTCACGCTGAGGCAACAACAGCATCGTCCCCGACTGGACATGCTGTACTCTCCCCACTCTCAGCTATAGTGAGTAAAACACACAGCTGTTTGCTGGCACTCTAATATAGTCGTGACCGTGCAGCCTGTAGTTTACCTTTTTAATGTTTCTTTCTCCTGACACCACGCTTTCCTGCCATTGTGATTTTTATTTGTTGACTGGGACGCTGCTTTTGTTAGTTATAGATGCCTTTCAATGCGCTCTATTTGCTAAACGGTCTGTGGGTTATACGCATCCCCTCCATCAGACGCCATACAAATGTTTCCGTGTGTGTGTGTGTGTTGTTGGCAGGGAAGCTGTTTAGGGCTGTGCTGAAGGTTACTGTCAGCAGGGGTGGTGTTGGTGTCAGGAATACAGAGGGATTGCAGGGGATGTGTTGATGGACCCTCCCTCCCCCCTCCTCAGCCATTTATGTGATGTCATTAAACACATTAATCACAGGAACCACGATGAGATGGTGTGTGTGTTTCCTCATTCAGTCGCCGAGGTGCGTCTGCCCCAAGGTCATGATGATGAACGCAGTCAGAAGAACAGGCCCAAGAAGTCCGAGTTAACTTTGTGCTTCAAGCACGAGTTACTTATCAAAAGAAATCGCTAGATAAATAGCTGACCTCATCAAGTTCAACTTGTTCCATCTCATGCCAGCCGTGCTGAAATATTCTTGTCTATGCCTGTATCAGCCATGTTAACACACACACACACACACACACACACACACACACACACACACACACACTTGAGACAAGCTAGCTGGTTAAAAGAACAACCCTGAATCCAAATGTAAACAAAAGGGTCACCCCATTATCAAAATGGAAACCTGGTATTGTAACTGTTAGCTTATTATAATTCTCTGATGCTCTGAAGGGTTTGTTTACATCTGTAATGTTAAAAAAAAAAAAAAAATTCAGCTGTATGTCATACTTTCCCATTGTTTATTTGAATGCACTTGTAATTCAAGCCTATTTGTTTACCTTTGTTGTAGTTAAAGCTGCCATAAGGAAGCGACTGAAGGACCTACAGTAACGCGGTGAAAATGCCAGAATACTTTAATCAAATGCAATGAGTGTTTGTCAGCCTCCTCTGACAACACACAGGCTTGGTTCTGTTGGGTCTTGTCGGGGGCATTCGGTGTGTTTGTGGAAATCGTCTGTGCTTTTTTTTTTTTTTTTTTTTTTAAATGACTCATCGCACTGCCAACAAGCTGTACAAGCTGTACAAGAGTGATTTATCTTTTTACAAGCCGAGACGACTTGTTCCGATGCACACGAGCCCAGGTCAAAGCCCTGGGGTCTGGATTTCCACTCTCTATATGAGGACTGAAGCTTGAAAAGCTGTGTTCTTGATGAGTCAGGTGGTGTTTGTGTGTCATCACGTTAGTCATGATTCATCACTACAGTATGCTTGTTTATGACGTGATGAACGAAGGTTAACCTAAATCTAGATGTGAAGCAGTCTCTCTACCAGTAAGTAGGCTACATAATATTTATTATTCATGTGCATCCATATTTTCCTACATCCCTACTGTCAAGTATGTTTTGTTTAAGTATCCAAATAGTTGCTGATCCATTTCCTGTACATTGATTAATTGCGTAATCGTTGCCGGTCTCCTACATCCTCCCCCGTCTCCGCTGTCTATCTGCTTCTTTCTCATCTTTCTTTTTTGGCATCTCGGTCGATTAAATAAACCTTTTAGGATATAAAATGTAATTGAAACAAGGTGGAATTGTAATGACTAGACGTGACAGATTACTGTTGCTTAATCTCTTGAAATGCTGAGTCATAACAAATGTCTACGAGGGTCCCGGGGAAGTGCACCGGTGTGCTGTATCGACAGCTTTATTGGACACGTTATGTCTTCCTGCTCTCATTTCTTCTAAAGCCCAAGGCTCACACACACACGCGCACACACGTCTTAAATTCATGTCACATAGAAGCCTTACCGGATTATCTCTGTTTAGAGTCAACCTCATATGCACTGAATTAGATCAGTGCCGTTTGCTTTCTAGTTTAATCACATTACCTAGTTTTCCTGATTTGTCACCGTCTGCATCGGAAAAAAATTGTTGCGTACATGTGTGTCTTTGTGAATGTTGTTGGCGTTTTGCGTGTGTGTGTGCGCGGCACTCGTGCGTGTGTGTGTGTGTGTGTGTGAGTAGGGGTCAGTGGGAGTGGTGGGTATGTAAGAGTGACCTCCAGTGGTCTAAATATAGCGCCTCCCTCCTCCCCTCGCCTCTCTCTTGGGGCAGTGTTGAAATTCCTAACCCAACTCTTCTGGTCAGATCTCCACAAGGAGCAGACTTTACTTAACTGCTACTGACAACTAAAGGGTTGAGCCACAAAAAGCCCACTCTGAAGGAAGCACTTTATTGCCAATACAAACTTTCCAATGCAAGGATTCCAATGTCGCGGGAGCGACGGGAGGCCGGAGTGGCAGCAGGAGCAGAAGTTGAAACTGATAGCTGGTCTGTACGCTCATGTAGTTCTCAAGCACGGGGGCCCTATAGGCAGCCTCTGATCGACCCAGGCCTCTGCTGGAGCCGTGCAGTGGAATATTTACTCGATCCCCGTCGGTAGAGTTCACTCATGACGGAGGCGGTCGTCTCTGCTGCTATTCTGAGAAGACACGTTGGCGTCATCTCCCCCTCCGCGATTGCAACACTCGCGGCTCTGAGGAGTCGAGTCGTCTCGAGCTATGGCTCTCCCGGTCTGCGGACACCGCATATCTTCCTGTCTCTTTTGGATTGAATGTGGAATTACAGCTGTCATGAGAGTTTCACGTCTTTCACTTTACCCGTCTGTCAGTTTCTGAAGGATGGAGCTTCACACGTTTAGCTTTGGTTAAACCTTCCTCGTGCCAAAGCCAGACGTTGTTCCGATGTCTGTATTTACTGTCATGGTGGAATAGTTGGATATTAAAGACAACCTTCGTCCTGTGCCGCTAATCACGACGCAAGGAATTTCTTTTATTTGTCTATCATGGGAGCTGTATTTCACACCTCGTAGACGCAGCTACCCATCCCTCCTGCATCCCCCTTTTGTACCCACGTCCACCCACTGTATCCCTGTCTCGCCGTCTGGCTGTCTGCACCATGGAAGTGCCAACTAAGTGGAGCAGGGCTAGTGTCATCAGCTTCATCAAGGGCCTTGGTAAGCACGCAGGAGGCACGTGTGTTCGTGTGCACGCACGCATGTTTGCCTCGTTCGAGTGTTCGGCTTTCACACAAACAGGGTCACTGTCTATGAGGCCCTGGGGGGCCCTGTTCTGTCCGGGAATTAGTGTTTACATTTCACCTCTGCAGCGAGGTCAGGTCACGTGGTCATGAAAGGTCAGTTTAGAGCCGACACTGTTAACTCACACACTCTAGCCACTTCTGGGAAATGCTCTTGTACTTCTCGGCATGTTCGGGGAAGTTCATTACGTACAAGTAACCTTTGTGTGAGTTTTTAGTTTTTTGTATACTGTATTAGATGACATATGATTAATAATAATAATCCATAGTGGATGCAGAACTTCCACAAAGTCTTGCTCAAGCTTATACTGCATAGTCACCGACGCCATTTCTTACAGCGATGAGTTTGTTCTATTTTAAGGGCATGTCAATATTCCTAGAGACGCATGACAGGAAATGCCTTCTCCATCCGTATGTCTCTCTGTCCGTCTGTCTGTCTCTCACTCAGAGACTTCAGCCGCTCCATATCCGTCTTTCCCTCTGTGTGTTTATCATTACGTCTCGCAAGAATTGATGGTTCCCAGCCTCCCTAACGATGGAATCAGAAGGGAGGAATGAAAACATGGACTGCCCAGCGTGTGTGTGTGTGCGTGTGTGTTTAGAAGTGTCTGGAAAGTGTTGCCTGTCAAACCTGGACACGCACTCACCACAAATAAGTCCTGACTGAGGAGTTTTGACTTCACAAAAATAAATGATGATCAGATTTTCAAAGAATGAGGTTTATTGAGACAAGAGGCTGGAGAATGAGCGTGAGGGTTCGTGTCTCAGCTGCACGGTGTTGGGGGGGTTCTTTGATGAAGATAACAGCAGTGTGTCAGTTTGTATTGTAGCAGTCGGAGCTGCAGAAGTGGTTGTGACACAAAGCTCATGGAGGCAACTATGGTTCTTTTAAACCCTTTTACCTAAAATAAATTGTAGCCCCGCTCAGAGTCATAACGGACAGATATACATGTTCTTATATTAAGTGTGACACACACTTTCTGCTTAGAGATCATTGAAAAAAAGATGCTCCTCCTCATGGAAGGAGAACCTGAGATTCATCACGTGTTTAGTTTCTCAGTGTGAAAGTACTCCAGTGATAGTTGTACATTCATGGGTACATGGCAGGAACAGGAACTGCCATTACATCATTTGGCATAATTAGCGGTGCCAGTTTGCAAAAATGTAAATAAACAAAGGCTAAAATGATGGCTAAAATATTTGACTTTTTTTTTTATTGCATCCCCACAAACCTCCAAATTCTGGGAACTGTGGTTCCAAAATCTTAAAATATGAATATGCCCCTAATAGAAATAAGACAAAGAATAATAATAATGTCTCCCCCCCCAGCCTCTCCAGTGGGACTGAAGCCCCCCCTCCCACCAGTCAGTGGAACCTCGGGAGAGAGGAAGGGTCCTGTCGTCATGGCGCCCGTCAACGTGGACCCTGAGAGTAAGCCGGGCGAGTTCGTCCTAAAAAGCTTGTTTGCCAACTTCACCCTGCTCTCCGAACGCAAGATCCGAATCATCATGGCCGAACCACTGGTGAGTCCTTTCTCATCCCGTCTCTCTCAGGTTACAGCAGCATTCAGGGCTACACTGTATCTGATTGTGTTATTCAGAGTGATATGTTGACATTTACTTCTATAACAGAGGAGGTGATCCCCAGCAGTGTGGCTTATATAGAATATAACCATCATTTAGAGACGGCGTCACAAATGTTCAATATACTGTATGTGTTTTCTGTTTCTACTTATTTTTCTTCAGGGTCATATTTGAGCCTTATCTCTTTTCCTTCCGTGATCACACAGTACAAACTGTTTTACATATTAACAAACCTGACTGATGATTAGTAATATCTCGTCTTTTTTTAGAAGGAACTAGTTGTTTTAGTCACTCACTGCGACCTCTTTGCAGGCTTGATCATTTGTCAGCTATTAAGGCGTATTGACTTCTGCCGCTGGTGCACAATGCTCCCGTATATTGCATTGCTTTTTATCATTTCCTGTAACCTCTGGTGCATTTATTTTTGTTTATTAAGGAAGGTATATGCTCCACCTTAATGGAACACATACATTTTAGTCTCATCATGCCCCCGATGAATTTTAAAATGAACATGCATAGAGTGCGGTGGGATTTGATCAAAACAGAGCCATGTGGATGTCTTGGATTGACATATTTGCCTGCAGAAGTAACAAAATATGTAAGACGTACTTTAAACCAACCTCTGAGTCTCTCATATTACCACTCACTAAGTGTACCAGAAACTTCTTCTTTGGGTTTAAATGTTTAATTAGGGCTTCGTCCCTTTCTCTCAGGGTTGTTGTATGTTTACGGCACTCAGTGCTGAACACCTGATATGTTTCTTGAAAGGAACATAACGAGGTTAGTGTCGAAGCAGCTAGTTTGATACTAAGCAGCGAAGTCGGTCCTGGGCTTGTTTTAGGCACTGAGCCGGTGATCACATTTGCATTTAGCTGAAAATGCAACACAAACATACTGTAGGTGTCAAGTGTCTTCGATGTTTACGGACTACACAGGTTGAGTCTGGAGAGACAGCAATCTCAAAAATGGGAATTAATTAGTAGTTCATTTTAAGAGACATGTCTTATTTTATCTTTTGTATGTACTAATACTCTTTAATGAAGCAAAAGTATTTCATATCCTATTACTCGATTAGTATACAGTCGATCTGTAGAATACTAAACTACTAAAATGATCGATAGCTTCGGCCCTAGTTCTGATTGCAAAGTTTCATAATAAAATGTCTTCCTGTTTTTACATTAATGTCTGTCTGTTCTTGTCTCACAGGAAAAGCCACTTAACAAATCTCTGCAGAGAGGAGAGGACCCACAGTTCGACCAGGTGCGTGGAGCTGACATGGACACATTTTACCCGTCCGAACCCGTTTTTCCTCTGTCGTCCACTTCTTGTTTTATTTTGGGATTAACCTCTCTCTCTCTCTCGCTCGCTCTCTCGCTCACCTCCACCTGCCCCTTCTCTCGGTGCAGTTGATCAGCAGTATGAGTTCTCTAGCAGAGTACTGCCTGCCGTCTATCCTGAGGACTCTGTTCGACTGGTACAAGAGGCAGAACGGCCTGGAAGACGAGTCCCACGAGTATCGACCCAGGGCCAACACCAAGTCCAAGAAGTGAGAGGACACAGACGCCACACACACGATTTGTAAAACTCTTCTCTGCACCTAGCTGAGAAGTTGGAGTAGATTTAGAAACAGAAAATGCACGGTCAAAAAACAAAAACACACAACAATCCAGCATGTCAGATGTGCAGGACTATTTCAATATGTTCTTATGAATTATTTAGTGTATTCGTCCTGGCTCGTAAAGTTTTTTTAACTTAAGACAATAAGCAATACTGTACTAACTGCATTTAGCCCCCTCCCACACAAACAGCAGAAAAACAACGTCTACATTAAAATAATACTGCCATTGGAAAAAATACACTAATGAACGGCAGAAGCTTGTTTCCAAATGTCAAACACACCGAGTACACACTGCTACATATTGAACCAGATGGTGCCTTCAATTAATTCATTATCAGAACTTTAATAAAAGCAGATTCTCGTGTGTGTTGAGTACAAAGGCAAGAAGAGGATCAACACTGTTTCTTTGTTTCTGTCTGTTTCAGTGATGAGCAACAGAAAGACTACTTATTGGAGAGGAGAGATCTGGCGATAGACTTCATCTTTTCTCTCGTGCTTATAGAGGTTTTGAAGCAGGTGAGTCTCAATTTACACCGTAGACAACATGTCTCCTCGTATTTATTGGCATGAATGGGTTTTATTGTACAGTATTTCAATCACTGGGAACGAAGCTGCGCTGATTAAGTTCTGTTTGTCAGGAAATGATTTTGGATATTTAACACACTCTTCCTTGATTAAAGGGAAAATGTTTGTGTACGTCCAATCGCAATCACACAGTCCAATCACTGTTGATGTTACATGTAGTCAATTAAAGCAATAAATTCCTCACTCCGTGCTCTATTGACGGCGAAAGCTGAGTTGACATCTGTTGTTCTCCCTGCATCCAGCGTCTTTGTTTGACGTGACAGTGATGTAGTTGGATGCAGGGAAACAGAACTTCCTAAACCTGCTGTAAGTTTCTTTGTGAAAGAGCCATCCCAAAATATGAGTGGCGAATTTTCCCTTTAACACTTACTTACTTGATATCAGTTGTCCAGTATTTCCCACCCCACTCATGTTAAACTGTATCTAAATTAACACAACTACAAAACGTTCCCCAGACTGTGAGCAGAATACATAGAAATAGCTCATCTTATTTGGACGTATTGTTTTAATTTCATGTTCAGATTCATCAAGTGAAAAGATGGAAATCTTAACAAAATAATAACAAACTTTTTCTCTCAATCCAGATCCCCCTCCATCCTCTTTTGGATGGACTCATCCAAGAAGTCATAAACCTGACATTCAAGCACTTCAAATATAAAGAAGGGTAAAAATGATCACATGTAGAAACACTACATCTTTTTCAGCGTAACACTGTCTTCACTTTCTGACCAACTTCAACATACTCACATGCGGTGTTGACATCAACGGCTCTCACAAGTATAGCAAATGTGTGTATTGTTATCTCAGTCACTACATACTATAATATTCACGTCTTGTGTTCACTTCTTAGGTATCTGGGACCCAACACAGGCAACATGCACATAGTGGCTGACCTCTATGCTGAAGTAGTGGGAGTTGTAGCTCAGTCCAGGTAATGTGCAAATTCATCTTCATGCTGCTCATGTGTTTATGAGTGCATGCAATTTAAATGTTTGTACATCAACAGCATCGACATTAATGTGTTGAGGTAATTTGCCACATACCCAAGTCAGTGACAATAAGTAATATCTGAAGTTTATTTAATATCTCAAAGCTAATGAAGATGCAGAGTGTTACAGTAAATTCATTTACACTTATTCAAAATGCTACAATTGGCCTTACAAGTTTGCACTTAAATATCTACAATCCACTTTTAAATGTGGCTTTATTTCCTTATTTCCACAGCTTTGAATGAAATGTGTGTCACAGTGAAGGCAGATGTGTGATCCAGGTGATAACGTAGTTAAAGTAGCTGCCTGTCCTCTTGACCCCATTCAGCTGCCCCTCTGTCTTGAGTACAAGTGAGGGAAAGAAAGTGTGTGTGTGTGTGTGTGTGTGTGTGTGTGTGTGTGTGTGTGTG